ATAAGAGCGTCCGCAGATGCAATAAAGAGGCAAGTAAGATGGTCATAGAGAAAAAAGAGACGACCAGAAGGGCAGTCACCATAGGAATGCCAGACCTGGGTGAGACTGAAGCCATCAGAGCGAGCGGCGCAGGGGGTAATTACGATAGTCAAAGTCGGCCCATGGAACAACGAGTAATGAGGTCGACTTGGTCTAAACTTATACAAGGCGCTTGAGCTTAGGCTGAGTGACGTGGGAGTTGAAAGACATTTGTTCCTTGCGTTTCGGGCGGAACGAGATTTATGATGCGCTTATCTAGCGCCCGCCCTGGTGATCGATATTGCGCGTATATTGGGAGAGTATCTTGAGGTTGATGGAGAAAGATACGGGATAGGTTGAGTTGGGGTATGTCGGCTGATGAGGGATATTCGAATCATCCTGAGAAGGACAAGAGCGAAGATTTCTTCTCACAGGAGGTAGGTGTGCTTTCTGGACCTAACTCGTATCTTGCATGGTGGAACCTAAGATACGCTTTTAATAGTAGCATCAAGTCTTCCGCGTTTTCTGTCCACGATTAAGAGTGGACCTATTCCGTATCTTGCCCGCTCAACCTAAAGATTCTCAGGAGCAAGGGCATGTGACTCACGACATGAAGTCGCCTTTCAACGGGATCGTCGGACTCACCGAGGCGATGAAAATGATGGTCAAAGATGAGGTCAAAAAGAAGAGGCTCACCTTGATCAACAGGTAGTATCATATCGGGCCTATTTTGTATCTTCCACGCTCAACCTCAAGATATTTCAGGGCCGGCTCCCGCTACTGCGGAATGGTAGAAGAGAACGTCGTTAGCGACAAGTTGGGCCGAGGGTGGATGAAAGTAGTCAAAACGGACGTCCGCCTGGGGGCTGTAGTCGAGGAAGTGGTGGAATTAATGAAGTAATAATGTCCGCCGTCGGAATCGAACCGGGGATTACCACAGGTTCGGACTAGACGGACATAACAGGCCGACCAAATCTGACGAGGTTGCCCTCGAGGACCAGACGGGGTGGGGGGAGGAAGG